AGATCGAGCTGTGAGTTTCCAGTTATGTTCGTATGTGCACACTTTGCGCGTATAGCGATATCTGGACAAATGTCTGCCAATTTATGTCGATGCTTTTATCAGCGTAGAAAGCTGGCAAGAGGACACGAAAAAGGGGAGATGTATGGGGGTGCTCTGCTGCTTTAATACTGCTACAATCGTTCGTGAGCTTAAAACAATGAGACAATATTTCCTCTTCAGTATATGTACATTGGTGTGTAAGGTGGTCTATTTAATTCTAGCAAATCCCCTGTGAATAAGGTAAAAGGAACAGGCCGAAAACAATGTATACCATAATTCGCAACGTGGTATCGTTGTGGGAAAGGGACTGAAGTTGATGCGCTAATTGCTGGTTTACTCTGAAGTAAACCAGCAATGTCTCTGAAGTAATGATTACTATTTTTTTTTGTAAGACATCGCTTGGCTAGCAACAACAGATACAACAATATCATGATCGTGCTGTTTGATATGTTTCATTAGGTATCGTGTATGGTGTTCATCCAATGTTTTGCGTATTCTGAACGATTTTTTAGTACGTTCAGGCAGGACGCGGCCCAAATAATGTTTTAACTGCTATATATATATATATATATATATATATGTAGGTAGATAAAGCTAGCCCTGTATTTTCTATCGAACCGCAAATCATTTTCGAAAGCTTTTCGCAGGCCAGCCTAGTTAATTTTCCTGTAGTTATTTTCGCTACTTCGATTTATAAAGTTATGTCCAAATGCTTTCAGACATATCAGTTAACTTATTTTCTCCTTTCATCGGCCGACATCTCCTCTTCGAGTCGGCGATCATTTTTAATCTGAAGAATCAAATTTATATTTAGGAAATCCGCTTGAGTCGTTTTGAGTCCTAAGCTAATCCGATTCGTTTTAATAAGCTTTTTTTAATCTAAATGAAAATTTTAAACGCCGATCGAAATTTCATCTTAACCAAATCTTCATTTCAATTATTCAATTATCAAGTACAATTATTAAAGATCGTGTACGGTTTCCATCGCATTCGGTTAGGCGGCCGGTTCGTCCATAATGTAGATTGGAAGCCAGTCATTCAAATAGGTGAACTTGGTGCCTGATTCGACCAACGGCGCAGCGATTACTTCTTCGTTCTGCTTCGCTTTTTGTGTGGGTTTCAGTGAATAATAAACCGCCGACCAACAACATCGTTCCTGTAGTCAACTACTTCACCAGCTGAAGGGTGTTATGTAGGAGGAGGCCTGGCCACCGTTGCTTCCCCTCGTCTCCATCAGCCACTAAGGCAGTTCGGGTTGGGCTTAGGGCAATGAGGAGCCTGGCCATATTGGTGGTCCACTCATATCACCGGCACGCCATCGTACCTCTGATTAGCCGATCTACGAGTAGATGGCAAAAACCTGGCAACTTTCTTCCAAAAAATTTGACATTAGAAGACGCCCAAGATGTCAGGAGACCAGAAGACTGCTCCATTGAAACTCATGCTCATGTGCGCCGTCCTTGCCGGACCGATCAATGAACTGAAAGACCGAGCTCTAGAACTGCCGAGGTGCAAAGCTGTGGACCAAATGAGCTTTCCCAACGAAAACAAAGATCCATATTTCTAGTAAGTGATCAGGGAGGACACGGGCAAACTGGATGAAAGTAGGGAACGCGACAGACGCATGTCAGTGACCACACTAATGATAACGGCTCCTGCGATAATTAGGGCTACTAATATAGATGGTGACAGAGAGGATTCGACCACTCTTCCATATGTGCCTCCGCTAGTCAACATCTGACGGGGAGGAACCGGCGGTTTCCATCGAATAGACAAGCAACTATTGGCGACCGGCCACTACCGCTGGCCAAGTTTCTACAATCCAACGACCTGTCTTTATCCAAGCTCGTCATAGTGATGTTCGAACGACACAGAAAGCAAAGCATAAACGAGTTGGCGCAACTATTAGGAAGAGGTATTCGTCAGCACAACTGGCACCATGAAGACTAGCACGCGATTACCGACTTCGTCGTTCATAAGGGCGCTATAGTTGTATCTGGTATCATAAAATTCATAGTTTAAGCGTATCCATCAAGCGACTATAAGGAGAGATTAATGCTTCCTGGTGTTTTTTTAACATGCGAAATTCACGCAAGGGCCGACACAGAAAAGTGGGAGAATATGTTCATTCTTTTTTGGGGGCTAGTCAAGCCGACATTGTGTTCCGAAAATGGCAGAGGATGTTTTGGAACACTTAACACAATCGTTCGCTTTCTGACTCGACCGTGCACGATTTCGCGAAGCGCGGTCAGGTGCGACAGGGCCCGTCTACGAACAAGAGCTATTGGACGTCGGTTCCTGCCTAATACGCATTGGCTAGACAACCGGCATGGCTACCGCTGTTTCCGTTTCTCAAACCAGCTTGATGGATAAATGAATGCCTAAAAAGAGGTCGCACACGCCTCTATCTTTTTGAGGCTTAGATTAACGAACAAAAAGTCCTTTGGGCCATCGGTACGCAGCGTTGCATCTGTGGGGCTGCAACAGTTATAACACTGTGGGGTGCTCGCTCTATTTTTCTGTTTTTTGCTTGGGGTTATGCTGTTCCAACGCACGCCCCTCAGCTTCAGCCATTGCTAAACCGATGCGTCGAACGGGCACCCTACTCGTCTTCCCGTTAAAATCCGCTCGGGTCCGCCCGGCCAACGAGAGCTGCTTGTGCGAGGCAGTTCTATCGTGTAACGTAAAATGTACGCCTGCTGAAAAAATGGGTGCCATATTCCCAGCCAGCTCAACACACAGAAGTGTTTGGCTTGGCTACGTTACCTTATTAAATTTTTTTGAGTAAACTTCGTTGAGGTCCTTAGATCCTCCGTTATGGATCGACTGAAGCAGGACTTCAATACACAGTTCGAGAGCCCTCGATGACGGGGCTAGCCAAGGTAAGCTGTTGGGGTTCGACGGACAAGTGGTGGATAAGAGGCACTGAGAAACGTAAGTGTGTTCGGAGCTTCTAAGAAGAGGTTGGCGATGGCAGCGGCGTCTGCTGTAGCATCAGCAGCGGCAGGTTGCTTCAGAGACCGCGCAGAAAAGGCGGCAAGCTAAAATGTTGACGGGCAATGGCATCCATGGGGTTCACCTAGATCGTTCGCCCGCTCTCTAGGTGGCTGCCACGACAGTGTCGAAGTAAAGTTGACTTCAGCCGATTTTGCCGATGCGTATACTCCATGCTACTGCTAGTCGGGTCGCCAACACTGCTACTACAGCATTCACTCTAGGCTCGAATCGAATATCGAAATTAAATAAACTTTTAAGCCGACGCACGTCTTCAATTCTGGTTGCTGCTGCTCAGCTCGATCAAGCACCTACCCTAGGAGATCTGGTTCAAATATTGGAGCGCTCATGTCCCGTGCACTCTGTCTCCCAGCCCGTCTCTTTCAGTGCTCTACACAACCGTCTGAGAAATATGGGGACGGTGCTAGGGTACCGCTGCATGCGGAAGGGATACACGTCCTACGCGTATGGCGACTAATGCATCGAAGACTCACTAAAGACTCGCCGAAACCGAAGGCATGTCACTCCAGATAGAAGCAGCTAACTTCAGCTTGCCCTATCTAGCTAGATGGTCGACTGGCTTGCCCACCAGAGAATTTGTACCACTCGGTCCTATTCCGTGGGAGCGGTAAGAAGCGAGTAATGAAAGTATACATGTTGCCGATTACTGTTCCGTTCCTGCAAGTATATTCCCACAGTACATTCAAGCCGTAGCAGCAATTCGCGTCAATATACGAACCCTTCGCCTGTTGCGGTTCGGCGGATCAGGACGGCTAGTAGAGATAGCTGTTTCATCTGGAGGAGATAGCTGTTTCATCTAAGGGGTACAGAGTGCCCAACAACCAATCGCTTGGTTGTGCGTACGCCTGCAGCGCTAGCTCTTCATCAGTGGCATTCACACGGCCGGCCGACTGATTCTCGCACTGATGCTTTCCGCTTTTTCTGTCGGTAGAACTACGGACATACAGGGAGACAGTGACAGACAGATATACGAACGCCAGGTCACGCAATTTTTCCGTCTCTATCTGGACTGTTTGAAGCTTCGCGATCGCTTTCAAACGCTCTATTTTTCTTTTCTGCTTTTTCTTGGGTCACTCTCGCTCGTGAGGGACGCAATCACCACTTCCGTCACTATGACTACTTCTACTTGTACTACTACAGCTATGGCTGTTGAGCTTGAGAAGTATTGTTGTCGGTCTTTTGTCTCGTTGCTTCTTCGTAAACAACTGATTATCATAGATATTAAAATAAAAAGTACCTCAGTAGGTGTTGTTAAAAAGCATCCCTTAGCACTGGGTAGCCGCCTCCGCACCCGCTCTACGATAGAGGGAGCAAGACGGCGAAGCAGTTACCTAAAGAAACGGGTAAGGCGGAAAATCGGAGATGAGTGAGGGTGGCGCCCTGCCGAATCCTGGCACGAATTGTATGGAAATCCCGCCAGCCTCCGGTCAGGAAAAAAGAAGCCCGGAATCGAAAATAAGTATTAAATTTAAAGGAAAGGCACCCAGCTTTTTCGAAGAGAGTAGGATAGGCACGCTGGACGGGAGGACGAGTGGGTGGATAGAAAAACGGAAATAAACTGTAGCTGAAAACTGTGTAGGGTGGGAGATTCCTAAGGGACACGAGTCACAGGGCCAACCTTCTGTTGTTTCTACCGTTTTGCCACACTAGAAAAAAACCAGAGAGAGCACCGTTTAGGCCAATGATACACCTGCTGGCAACTGGCCCTCTACCGCGGGCGTTGTACGAAAATAGCGCAAGCACTTTGTCGTTTAGAATGAATTGCGTCCGACAGGTGAAAGGAGACGAAACGAAAACATCTAAAAGTACAGACGTACGGCCGTTACGATATAGCTGTTTCACAAAATCACATCCACATGACAGTACAGCCGGTACGTGGCACGCAAGTACTAAACAAGTTGCTTTTGTTGTCTTTCCTTTTCACATTTTTCTCTTTGAATACTAACCTGGAAATTGATGATGTCATGGCTTCTAAGGTCCTGGTCCTGAAAATCGGCAAACGACTGGAATCCGGGTTTCGTCATAGGCAGGGTGGTGCTGCGTCGAAATTTCGATGGTGATATAATGCTACCCTTTGGTCCTGGGGCACAAGTTGAGTTTGGGCCAGTTGGCTGACCCACGGCCTGCTGACTTGGACTTTTGATCAGTCCACCTGCACTACCTGTACCGCCTGCACTTGCACCTGGCGAACTCGACACCGAGCTTACCGAATTCAGCAGCCGTTTTTGTGGGGGCCATGCAAGCCCGTTGCCCGATGACCATGCTGTTGTTTGCTGTCCTCCGCCGTGCTGGCTGTTGGTTGACCAGTCGGAGTAGGCGCCGAACAGGTTCGAAGACCCGGACGTGTTCACCGTTAGTCGCGAACCCTGCGACCCGCCAAGGCCGGCCATCGAACCCGTACCATTCGAACACACCGACATATTGCCAACGAGCGAGCTGGGGCTAGAATGCCCCCCTCCGCCGCCTGCCCCATTGCCCCCACCACTACCACCGCCTCCGCTGCCGTTGCTACCGCCGCCACCGGTAATCGCTCGCCGTTGAAATATCGCCTGCGGGCTGAGCGCTCCATTGAGGCCGTTCAGTCCACCGTTCATCGAGTTCATGGCGTTGCCGGTCAGCTGATCGCTGGATGAGCAATCCAGGCTTGACCAATAATTCGCGCCTGGAACTCCAGCCACTCCAAGACCCGGCACTCCTCCACCTGGACAGAGTTCGTCAGAGCCATCTGGCTCGCCCCCGCCGCCACCGCTACCACCAACACCTCCCACGCCGGTCTTGACGCTGCATTTACCGTCGAGACCTACCGATCCCACGGAACCGTTCGCGACCGATAGCGCTTCGCTGTCAGCATCGTAGAACAACGAATTCTGTACGCTTGTCTCCCTGGCGCCTGGACGGCCTTCGCCAGGTGTTCCGACAGGAGTGCCGCTCGAGCCATTCTGCGACGGGCTTTGTGACGAGTGGCTGCCATGGCTGTTGTGGCTACTCGGGGAGGTGACCTGTGGCTGTGGAAAGCTGGGGCTCAGCGAGCGCACCTCGCCTGTGGTCAGGCTTCCGTAGTCCCCCATAGGCATTCGCCGCTCTGCCGGGCTCCCGGGCCAACTGGGTCGACTTACGAAACAAGAAGACAAGACGCGATACGACAACAAGACGGGATTGGATGATCTTCTTTTTTATTTTTTTTTTTGATACTCAATATCTTTTTTCTTCTCTATATTTTACACTGGCGATTCCTCGTGAACGAATCTCACGAAAAGCACCAATCGACACAACACTCCACACTCCGATCGGCTGATAACCACACGGACGCACGCACGTTCGATCTACTATTTCTTCTGCTTATCGTTGATTTGTTTTCTTTTTCTAACTACTGCTGATTTCGCACTCCCTCTATCTTTCTACGATCACCTCACTGAAGTTCGCTCAGATATCGCGCAAAAGCCGTCGCCGTAGCCGTAGCCGCTGCCACTAATAGACGCAGCGTAAGCAAACACACTCACCCAGGCAGATAGTAAACAGACCGAGTGAAATAAAGATGACTCTATCTGTGCAGCCGTCGCGGTGTATTCGTAGAGTAGTAGTATAAGGCCAAATAAAATGATTACCGTATTATACCAAAGAGGCTAGCATTTGTAGCTATTGTATAGTAGATATTCTATTCGTGATGGTCGAGCAATCGTGTTTGTTGTATTGATAGAATCTGTTGTAGTCGAATGAATGATGTGAATAGAGGAACTGTTCCGCTTCTAGCGTGGAGAAGCTTGTTCGTCGTCGCCTGTTTTTTCGCTGCTGCTGCTGCTGGTCCAGCCGCTGCTGCTGCTGTCGTTGTCGTCGGCCTGTTTTCTTTCCCTATCTCTCTTTTTCCTCACAAAACACTGAACACCACACGGACCACTGTACACCAAACACAACAACCCCCAATGATGGTGATGATGATGGGCACGACGAACTGATTTCGGCACGATGCCGTGCGGCATACAGCACAAAACTAACTGAGGTAGGCAGCAGCAGCGCTGCTATTGTTTTACCCGCTGCCTACCTGCTTATCTGCCTGTTTGGTGATCAGTGGCTACTCAATCTGACTCGATTTGGTTCAGGCAGGTGAAAGCCTAACTCAGACTGGCTGCCGAACGATGCGCGTATTATTCGTAACGTAATGATTGTAATAACAGTTGTAGTGAATCTTGTTGGCGGTAACCCAACAGTGTACCTTCGGCTGCTGGATGATCTTATAGTCCAGCTGCTGTTGCTGCTGCTGGTGTCTGTGCTGCTCGCCAGCTCAGTTCACCAGTCAGCTTTCGTGCCTTTCCGCTACAGCTCGTTGCTGCTTGCTGCCTCTTCCAGCTGCTCTCTGTACGGCTGGTGGCTGCTGATGTTTCTGCTTCTGCCACTGCACGCACTCCACAGCGGACCTCCTGAGCACAACAACAGAACCGCTAACTCCAAAACAAGCCTTTTTTCGTTCGCGCGACGCCCTTCGTGTCTGCTCCTGCCTTCTCCCTCGGAGCCGTGCTCTCCTGCGGGTTCCTGAATTGCCCCGCACTCCCCCACATCTCCTTAGGTTGCTCAACCCCTCTCTCTCCCCTTGCTCTCGATATCTTTCCTCCTCGTTCTCTTTCCTTCGCTCCCTCAAAGGTTTCAGGGCTTGCCTCTTCGGTGGCACGCGTCCACTATCGGCGACTAGCACGCGTTAGTAGTACCCCCTATATGACACACTATCTCTTTCTTCCCCCGCGCGTCTGCTCAATAGCAGCCTGGCGATGCCTCCCAATCTCTTCTCCCAGCTATAGCCGACGACGACCTACGCTTTTTTGCCACTACCCCAATGCCAAAGCCGCCTCAGCAGAAGAACTGCAACCAGTCTGATACTCCTCTAAGGAAAAGAGTATTCCAAGAAAACCAAAGAAAGAGAGAGCGCCGGGAAGAGAGAAAGGGTGCGAGAAAGAGATGGAAACCTAAGTGCTGGTAGGAGTTTTCTCTATGGTGACCCCTAGCATCGAGCCGGAGTCCAAGCTCGCGCCGTGCGGTAGTCGCTTATCGGGACGGGCCCCGGCCGCTCATTCCACGGTGCTCTACTTGTCGTTGACGGCTTTACGCAGAGTTTCTCTGAGAAGAGCCCTCCTTCCCGACCACCGTGGCTCCTCCCGGCGGTGGACTCGGTAAACAGTATCAGGGAGGCTGTCCGATTCCAGAGAGCCGGGCTCTGGCCCTGTTGGCAAGAAGTACGCCGGCCGACGTAACAGCGGGGAGTCACACAAGCGGGATTATTCAAATAGAAATGCAGTGTTGTATAAGGGAAGAGGGTGGAAAGTGAAGGATGAGGGTTCAGATGATAATGATGATCTAAGCCTACAGCTAGTCTCCACCGGCGACGGGGGTTGCAAGTGATGAGGTCGTCTTCGCACTTGAACTTATAATCTCTATTGTTGGAGGGTTCTCGGCTTATCTTATTTTAGTAGCATCTATCCAGGTTACAGTAGCGATGACGGTAGTGGAAGTATGAACCACATGTGGGACATCATTTTATGGTTGCTGGCGACGACGATGACGTTAACTCCCCTGTCGATCAGCTTTATGATCGCATTCGCGCGATTAGGTTATCTCTATCGGTCGTTCTATTTTGTTAGTATGTCGGTCTGTCTGTCTATCCGCCTGTGTCTGTGGCTCTGGGGCAAGGTTCCTCCCCCCTCCCCTTCCCCTTGAAAAAAGCCGATGTTCACGCGTGTACCACGAGTTTTTTTTACGTGTGGCGTAGAAATGCTACGTACAATAAACAGCGATGAACGGAGGTGACCAGATAACGCTATGCTGATGTCAGCGGATTCTAGCGTGCCTCAGGCGGTCGGTAAAACAGCTTCCTTTAGTACTAATCAAACAATTAACCCAATCAATCAGCAAGTGAGCGTCTCATTACGGCACGGCAACGGCCGAAACCATAGAGGCAGCCGGCGTGTAATAATCATCAAGGATCCCACCGTCAGCAGGATTTAACTCTTTGGAAAGCAGTCGTGTTTGTATTGGCAGCAGCAGTAACTCTGACGCTCTTCCACTGTGAGTTCTAATAGGGATGATGTCGACAAATGCCTACCTGATACAGGGATGCGATTAACCGGGCAAACTGTCAGGCGATGTCAATGAGTGCTGTTATGATTCGACGGCGCTGTAATCACTCGTGGTACGAAGTATGTACGGTAACAGCGCATTTCTGATTGATACAGCATCTTGTATATACCACCAATATATGTCATAATTAAACATCCATAATGTCAGGACGGGCTCCTAGAGTAAGCGACTTCAGGTCATAGAACTGGAAGATTCTAGCTGAAAAGGCAGAGTGAAGTCACGGGCGCCTATGCTTGATACAAAAAAAAAAAGTTATTCTGAAATATGTTGTCCACCTGTTGTACCCATCAAATAACTATACCATCTTCCTGCACCGATCAAGCTTACGGAAAAAAATATAAAGTATAATTTCTACACAATTCAGATTGATGTACGCGCTTAAAACGTTTCTAATGCATAGCGCAAATAGGCGTTAATATAAGTAATTGTAAAGGGCAATCAACCGATCGTACAGGAAATTGATTAGGAAAACCGCCTTAGCATAAAATGATGGTTTTAGCGGCTTCATTATATATACATATATACATTTATGCGGATTCGTCTATCGCAATTGTAATAATGTCAGAGTAAACTAAGTTTAATTATGTACACACCGTAAAAGCCATTCAATCTAATGTGACAGTAAAAAAAGTTAACTTTTCTGAGTAGTTCTCCAATGAGGGTTAGTGTTTTTATAGTAAGTATTTGTTTGTATCGATTCGACTGCCCAAATAGTATGGCTTTACTTTGTAACGTCCATCTTCGACAATTTAACTTGTTACAGTATATTTGCTTTATTATGTATATTACATGAGCTATGTAAAATTAAATATAATGTATACATGTTTAATCCTCTTATCTGAACAAGTGATCTTTTACCGTTTACTCTTTTAAATGGAAAATTCAGCAAAGCGCTTGGATATTCATATCTATTGCGAAAAGCCTAAAGTCAAAATAAATGATGATTCAAAGACATGTTACGATAAAAAAAAGAATAGGTACACCACCTATCGGTTGTGGGAGCAGACAAGACAAGACTTGAGCAAGTCTGAAAACGGCTGATGAGCCTGGCTTAGTGTCAGAATATAGTCCTTAGTATTATATCTAGGTACAGATAAAACCACGAAGCATTTCTTGTTCTTAAGTATTTTACAAGTAATAGATTTTTCACTATAGTAGTGTAGGAGGCATCCAATATGTACATAAGTCTTGATTTACATCTAGTATCGATTTCAGGACGCGCAGTGGGAAAATATAGGCCATCTTCCGGATGCTAGGACCGTGCTTCACGCAAGCCATATTTTGTAAACTGAGTGTACGCTAAGGACTTGCATTAGCCAAAATATCGCGAAATGCGTAAATGGTCTGGCCCCCCTCGGGCAACGCGCAAGTCACGCCGTCGAAGAGACGTGATTTTGGGCTTTCGTTCGTGGTCGACATAAAAACGTGTTGCCAGGCCAGGGCACATACACATCAAATTATACACATCTCAATTGTTTGTTGAAAATTGAATTAGCTTCGCAAGAATATTACGAGTATTATTAGGTAATTTATCCAGAACAGAGTTTAATGCCGTATGTAAACAAAACACTTAAGCGGTCAGTTATTTTTTTGAAAGCGCGCCAACCAACCATTAACAGTTAATAATTATTCGATGGACTTACGTTCTTTGGAAAAAAAACTATAAATGACATGAAATACAGGGAGTTCTTTAACATAAAGATTGATCCAACACAAAATGCTATAACTATGTTGTTTTTTGCTTGGTACTAAGCGAATATTTCGGTTCGAATTCCGGGTGTCATATGTAGAGTTCATGATTTTTTATGGCAAGAAGCTTTACCGTAGAGGTAAGTGTGGTTAAAAATGCTCTCTGGTGCCTGAGGCGCATCAAAGCAGGCCTAATTTGTACTACAAAAATCAGATCGTCGTAAAAAAAACGAGCATACTAAGCTAACAAGAGACATCAGTGACCGCACTTCGTGTCCATCAGGCCTAAGAAAAATTTCGTTTTCCTGGAGAAAGAGAAAGCGCTAGACCGTTCGAAGAAAACAGGACCGATCCGGACACTCATGCTATCGCAGAGCTTTTCCAAAACAGTCTTTTCACATGAGAACGTCCTTTACATATGTCCCTTTGTAAATAACAGGTCCCTGCTCTACTATTCAAACGAGTGTTATCTTAACGAAGTACTGAATATACAGTAAGCAACCTCAGGTTTCACAAATGGGTAAAATGTACTAGGGGGTGTTTGTACAGTTGCTGACCGCCCACGTCCTATGAGGTTCCTTATATTGATTTCAGTCACAAATCAATATATTACTGAAGTGCAAAGGATATGGCTGTCGATTAGCGTAATCTTTAGCAATCAAAGGTAGGTCCTACAAAGTATATTATTAAAGTATATATAAAGTAGTTTCAGTAACTCTAGAGATAAAAGTTTTTAACAATTACAGCACATATGTTTACATGTAAGGCATGGAAGGAGTTGTTACGAAGTGAACAAAATTATCTCAGACTCATGGATCTCTCGTTCACATCAATTAAAATCTCTAATGAAAACCAAACACCGAAATTAGCAGCTTCACATAGATCAATACACAAGTGCAAGCTGTACACATGCTCTTTATATTTCTAACGAAACGCACATCATTCAAAGGGAGTTTAACGTTAAGAATAGCGTATTTGTAGCAAATGAATAGAGTGTGGCTCTTCCAGGAGCGCGTTAGGTATTAGATTATGCCAGCCCTATCGGGTGGCAAAGCGAATGACAGTGTTTTATTAAGCAGTCATGTAGTCGGCTCTAGCCCTAGACGAAATGCAAAGGTAAAGTACTAGGTGAGTATCAAACGCAAAAAGCCTTCGCCAAAAGAAGAACAGACAATTTTAGATTGATAGATGAGATACCCAAAATCAAGGCTAAGCTGAGGCAGCTTCTAAACTCTCTCTGGCAATCCTCTCAATAACAAACGGCAACATCTTTTGCTTTGTAAAGGCCTTATAGACCTTTTTTATTGGCTTCAACCCTGCAGTACCGCTAATGCTCCGAAAAATAGTTCTAGAGAAGAGTTCTATGACCCCATTGGATAAAAGATCGCAAAAGTCCACTCCCTCCAGGACACTGGGGATGCTTCATTCCTATTTTCTCGAACTAAGCTTTATGCTACCTCATACAATTGAAGGACAAACGTATGAAATATCGTAAAGTAAATCATTAACCTCCAAAGCCAGTAGAACACAAGTGGAATCATCTTTAAATCC